CCCTAAATCGGAGCCGCTCGCACGGCCGGTAAAGAGCTGAAGATCTGTCACGCACAACTTTTCCGGAAAGCAGAAATATGCCTGAAGTTGTGCTCACCGGAGCACTAAGCCTCGGGAGCGCAAGGCTCATTTACCATCTCTGCCCTACGTTCCTCGTGCGCCCGAGCAACTCCCTTAGCCCCCCCAGGGGCAGCTGTACACCAGGACATCCTTCCTCTCACCGGGCGTCTGCCTTGCCGCTGTGCTGGCAAGCTCCTGGAGCGAAGCGGGGAGACGCTGCCCGGTGCGTTTAACAGGCTCGCTCCAGCAGAGGATTAATCAAGGTGAAAACAGGCTTCTTGCATGAAGCATCTTGCCAGTCTCAGCACAAATCGACACAGACAGAGGCATCAATTAATTAAAAAATGAATGAGTAAAAGTAAACTGAGCTGGTTTTGCACACAGCCCGAGCAGTTCGCCCTCACAAACCACCCTCGAATTCTGTTAATTCACAAACCGCAAAGCCAGAGACTATTTCCCCTCATTTCCTCTGCAAACCACAGATAAACTGGACATACCTGGCGCAAGCTTTGAGCACAAGACACAAGGCTAACAACTCCTGTGCCACCTGTTTCAGCACTGCAGATGAGCTATCATTTTCCCACCTCCTAATTTCCCGGGCTCTAAGAACAGATACTATAGCAGTGACGGCTCTATTCCTTCTGCTCTTCCTCCCTCCCCTTCCTGCAAGGTGTAAGCTCTGTCCCCAGACCAGAGACCTCCTTTCCTAGGCTGGATGGTAAGACAGTCCCAAACGAGCACACGTGCCCCTGGTCTGAGTTTCTAACTCACTAGTTACTTGTCCCGCGGTATCCAGCAGTTCTGCCTCCAGTCCTCCTCCTTGCCTCAACGCCGGCCAGACCTGCTGGGCAAAGGAGCCCAGAGGTGACTCATATATTTCCTATGTCCCCTGGCAGCACGCAGAAACCCATATACACAGAACAACACGTTAAATGGTAAGAAGAAAAACTGGACACAACTCTGTAAACACCGTATTGAAACTGCATCAGTCAGATAATCGTTGTTTAACCACGGGGCTCACAGTATTGCAAAAAGTGTAATAGGCCGCTTTGGTGTATTTACTGTAAAACATACATCTGAAGGCTCAAAAGCAGTTTGTTTTCACTGCTACCTGGATGAGAAATGAGGTAGAAATCAGTTGATTTCACCTTTCTGAAAGGCAATACGTCATCAGTTCCCAACAGAAATTCAGTCCTTAACACGGGTGGAATCATTTATAAGGCCAAGATCTGAGCTGAGAGAGCTTCTAAAAGCTGCTCCTAAATAAAAAATAATAAACATCAAGCCACAGTGGCTCTTTTTCAGACAGATGTAGATACACCCATGAGGAAGGCAAAGATCCCAAAGATCCCTTTGGGTGCTTTTACCCAGCCTCCTTTCCCCATGCACCCTTAGCACTGTAATGCCAACTTTTGGAAGGCACTTTATACTAAAAAGTTTAGCTTCCAAGTCATCGCTGTTCTCCTTGCTCTCTCCAACATCAATAGCTAATCAGAAAAACAGTCATTTGGGATACAGGCATCACACGCTTCTGGAATCATCCTTTTATTAGGTCTTACACACTAGAGGAAACCCACTCAGGGTTGCTAGTCTAAACAGCAAATCCTTGAGATGGCTACACGGCACCAGCAGGCTTAAACGCTGACTTGGGCTATGTGTTTATACGAAGGAGAGAGGGCCTGCGTGGGAACCGGGTAAGAGCTACAAAAAGAGCTGGCTGATTTTGCCCGTCCCCAGAGGTAAAGGGATGAAAGCGGCTGGGACGTGCTGGGAGCCTTTAAGCCATTACCAGAGGGACACGATAATCTCCTGGCAGAAGAGACCAGCAATAAAGCAATATTTACACAAACCAAGAAGAATAAACCGTGGAAGAACTGTGTCCCTGGACCATCAGGTCCACAAGGATGACTGAAGGGGTAGGTGGATTATAGCTTACACATAAGCTTTTGTTAATGGCTGAGACTAAAACCACAAGCCGGAACCCTGTGATTTCCGTTCCGCTCTGCTTTCCGCCTGCTCTTCCCCTCCCCACTCGCACCTGTATATTCCCATCCTGTGGCCAATGCATATCGATTCCTGTACACAAGAAAGAAATCACCACGCAGGCTCACTAGCAGAGGTTCAATTGCTATTGATTTTGGTGGCACACTAACATTTACGTTGTAACTCTGTTCTCTCTGCCTTGAGTGGAAGGCTGGGAACAGCACTCTCCAGAGCCTCCAGCCAAAACCCTGGCCCCGGCTGAGGAGAGATGCCACTGTAAACGATGTCAGACGAAGCCCAGGCAATAGGTAGAGACTGTAAAAGGACCGGGTATCAAAGGCAGATTTGCAGCTACGTTATCCATTACATCCTCTCTCAGAACAGCCTCATCCATTCGTGAGGCTCCGATCATCATCTCCGCGCTGCAGACTCACAAACCAACTTCTCCAGGCCTGACCCACCCCGCTCCGTCCAGCCCGCACACCCTGGCCTGCCTGGCACCTTCCATTAGCCCCCCCACCAGCAGCTTGCAGTTACCACAAGCCCCAAAGCACGCTCCCGACCACCTTAATTCTAATCTACTCTAAGTTTCCTCTTTTGTTCTTGCAGCTGCTGTTCACCTTTAGCTTCTCCTCTTCCGGGAACGTGGTGTTTTTCCAAACCCAACTGCTTCTTTCCCCATTACATCTCCAAAGCGTACCCTCCTCTTGCATCGCTGTGTGTAACGCCTCAAGCCCTGAATTAACTATCAGTTGAAACGAATGGGTTTTTCGTTACCCGTTTGGATCAAGCCTATATTTTGTCCATTTTGAATACTGCTTTCTCTTTCTGCTCCGTAACTTCACCGTCCTGATCACACAAACCCCATCACTTCCCTTCAGGTCATACAGAATGCAGCTGCTACCTCACCTCCTCATCGGTTTGTTACCTCCTTTATTCATTGCCCTGGCTCCGTTCTACTTATGCTTTTTGCAACTGTCCTTGAAACTCTACATAACTATTCCACCCTCCCAATGGAGTAACCCATTTTGCATTAACCTCAGTCAAGAAGGGAGCCACAGAATAAAAAAATTCCTGCTAGAAACTTTTGCTAAAATTTACCATATAAATACAGAGTGTATTAACTACAACTATTCTGCAACAAAGGGGTGTGCAGGAGCATGCACAAGCATGCACATGAGAGAGAACTCATGCTCTTTCCTAATAGTTTCAGTCAACAAAACACCTGAGGTCAAATATTACTAGAAGAGTGGGAACCCTTCATGGGTTATTAACATTGCTCCACACTCCAGCACCCTAATAAAACACGAGTGATCCATTTATTAATATACTCCAAACGATTAATATTTTAATTTCATATACATACAGAGACCATCAGATGAGAGCATTAATCAAAACTGTCTGGCATTGTCTGTCCCCCGCTCTTCAGTAACCTGCCTGGAGAGCAATCCCTTCTTTTTTTTCTGTCTTTTCCTCCCAGTGCACACATACCACCTTTGCTGCTACTGTCTGGTTTTGTTTGGACTGGCAATACAGGGTCTGTAAAAAAAAATGTCTCTCTTCCAAAGGCTTAGACTACCAGAAACATTACCTCATTTGACTTGAGGGTGAACCAAAGCTCAGGGCCAGGCTGGCTGTTTCCGTTGGGAGAAAAACCCTGTGATGGAGTCTTTGATTTGTTTGCTTCAATATATTCATTTTGCATGAACATAAATGACTAAAAGTGCCGAGTAAAAGGGAAGTGGGGATATGATTTCTAAGCCGTAGGCATCTGTGTGGCTGTCACAGGGGACCAGCGCTGCCACAGGTCTACATCTCTGCTCAGACGGCAAACAGCCTTGCCTAAACATGAAAGGGGAACTTAGGGGCACGCTCTGACCAAGCGCTGTATGGTTTCCTCTCTGTATTTTTAGAGCAAGACTCCATCCACAGGCCAAGCAATGGAGAAATCTGGTCACCGAGTGTCACTGCAGGCCAACTCCCTTTCTGACTGCCCACACAGAGCTACTGAACTGGGCAAGTGAGCGTCAGGCCGATGAGAAGAAAGGATTGGAAATCCAGATAAAGATAGTAAAAAATTAAAGGTTGTAACTCTTAACTTGCATCGCTAAAAATACAGTTAAAGTCAAAAAAAGAAGCAGTCACAGGTTTGCTCCCTAAATCTTGCTCCCTCCTGGAGATTCTCTTGATGCACATGTGAGGCATGTGAAGGTTTTAAGAAACAGGCCTGAGTTCTTCAAAAGGTGAGTCACGCTTGAACCCACAGTTCCCGAACAAAAAGCGAGACATGTCAAAGCAGCCCACTAAAACATAAGAAAATAATTGAAACAGTGGGACAGTCGGTCCCACTCGGGACAGCCACCACAGGATTCTCCCACTCAGGCTCCAGAGTCTCCAGCAGGACCATGCTGTACGCTCAGAACGTCTCAAGAAGCTTTTATCAAAAAAAAAAAATTATGAATACGTTTATGACAACAGTCCACCAATCCAGAGTGCGTTTCAACGAAACCTCAACTTAGCACTTACCAAAGACGACCCCAAAGTGTGTGTTTAGGTCCTTCTCAAACACTGTCCTGCCCTTTTATTTCCAGGGTCCTTCATCTTCCATTAGCAATTTCAATATCTGATAATATTCACTGGAAAGCGGCTGAGCCGTGA